AGAGCAACTCTGCCTCAGGCTTCCTGTAGTCAGCCGCTGGTCAGTTTCAGCAGCGGCTGAATCTGAATGCAAGTTCCGACTTACATACAGATTCAACTTAAGAGCAAATGTACAGTCCCTATCTTGTACGTAACCCGGGGACTATCTGTAAGTGGATTTAAAAACATCCCAAAGTAATAGTAATCAATCTATGAAAAATATTTCATAATCCTTACTTGGAATCATTTAATTCTCTCTACTTGGAACAGACTTCAGAAATGAAATCAATGTGATATAGATGAATTTGGAATAAATTAATACTATATGATGTATAAAATATATTGTTTTTAATTTAGATGCTATATCTGAACTGAAGAAAACAGAAGAATCTACACTGCCTCATCACAAATGGTACTGGAATTTAAATTTATATAAATGCAAACTTTTTAAATTAAGAAAATGTATATAGCTTGATCTGCTTACACATTTTTATGTGGACTTAGCTCTCTTAAAAGTAGCTGGATTTGACTACCTTGATTATTGAAATATTCGATTTATCTGCAGAGCGGGTACAATACAGTGGTAATGTTAGTTACTCTTTTCTGCTTTCATTAGTATGCCACAACTCTGACCCCCTGAAGATGTAAATTTACCATATTCTTCTTGCCCATTCAGATTTTGATCGATGTGCTGAGACTGCCAATAAGGATGCTAGTTATGTGGTGATCTTTGTCATGTAACATTTCCACACTAGGAAGTGGATTGAAACAAACATTCATTTAACATAATTCAGCAAAAATATAGTCATAAGGGTATCAGCTTGGATCGCTACAAGCCTGGGCTGGATATGAATAGTCAACTTGGATATTAAATAGAAATATGAATGACTAGTTGAGTATCTGATAAGCAAAAATGTTCATTGTGTAGTCGACACACTAGTTGACTAGCTGCTTCCTCCCACCCTTGCTGCCTTTATCAGAAAGAGGCAGCAAGTGGGGAGGATGAGAAGGGGGTGCTTCAAAGCGGCAGCGCCGTGTGGATGAAAAGGAGGAGCTTCAAAGCAGCAGCGTCGTGGGGGGCACCCCCCCTGCCACTTTGAAATGCCGTGTGGAGCCTTATATCCCCAGCTGACCCTGGGCTTTATGCGGCGCTGCTGTTTTGAAATGCCGCAGGGAGCCTGTGGTTAGTGGAGGACTGCTTGAGTCCCCTGCTGGTCCCATGCTCCTTGCAGCCCTTTTGCCTTTGAAATGTAGTAACAACAGCCCTGATTGACTAATCAAATAATTGATGCAGATTGCATCGACTAAATTTAACATCCCTAATAACAATTTCTCCCATTGGAAATCTTCTGAGCTGTCAGCTCAATCCTTCCCCACTCATTCTTTGTTTCTAATGGGATGAACTGGTTCATTTTTCCTAAAAAGATTTTTTTTCAGAAATATAACTGAATTTTTTCTCAACAATGAACATAGTAATTTACAGTCCATAGAATAAGACTCTTTTCCTTATATAATATACACACACACACACACACACACACACACACACAAAATATAATTACTGTAATCTTGTGGCACAGCAAATTAAATGCAGCACAAAGATTTAAAAATTCTTACACTGTGGTTGTGAGAAATAAAGAGGAGATCCTTTTTTTCTACCATTGCATATGTAAAACTCAGACATGAAAATTTTTTCAAGTTGTGTTAATTCAAATTTGCTGCTGGTTTGTATATCTCTTATTAAGAAGTAATTATGTGATTCTGCGTGGAAATGATTTATCAAGTATAGTTTGAGCTATGTTCTTCCATGCAGATGGACCAGTGTCCTGAGGGCATAAATACTAAGTTCTTAGTTAGTTTGAGTTATAGTTACTTATTGAGATACTGGAGCAGCTGAGAAAAAAACTTGTGCCACAACCTGTGCCTTATAAAGCCAGCAAGTATGATGAGGTATTTTTGACTGCCTTGCAGACTTTGGTGAGAGTGGATATGGTTCTCCTTGAGAGGTTTGTCTTTTTCTCTTGGGTATGTCTACACTGAAAAGTTTAGGTGACCAAATTAATGCAGAAGTCATAACAAAAAAGTTGTCAAGGCATGTAAGAGAGTAGTCAGAAAGAGAGGAGGGGGGAGGGCATACCATGGGCCAGAGCAGACAAACAACCGCATACAAAGGAATCCAATGCATCAGGGAAGGGTAGACAAATAAGCAGTGGCAAATTTTTAAAGTGCTTCTACACAAATGCTAGGAGTCTGACTAATAAGATGGGTGAACTAGAGTACCTTGTATTAAAGGAGGAGATTGACATAATAGGCATCACTGAAACCTGGTGGAATGAGGAAAAATCTGTGGGACACAATCATACCGGGATATAAAATATATCGAAAGGATAGAGCAGGCCGGGTGGGTGGCGGAGTGGCACTGTATGTGAAAGATAATATAGGATCAAATGAAATAAAAATATTAAGTGAATCAACATGTTCAATAGAATCACTATGGATAGTAATTCCATGCTCCAATAATGAGAAATTAGCAGTAGGAATATATTACCAACCTCCTGACCAGGACAGCGATACTGACATTGAAATGCTGAGGGAGATTAGAGGGGCTACCAAAATAAAGACTCTATAATAATGGGGAATTTCAATTATCCCCATATTGACTGGATACATGTCACCTCAGGAAGAGAAGCAGAGATAAAATTTCTCAGTTGCTTAAATGACTGCTTCTTGGAACAGCTGGTGCAGGAACCCACAAGGGGAGAGGCAATTCTCGATTTAGTCCTGAGTGGAGTGCAGGATCAGGTCCAGGATATAACCGTTACAGGACCGCTTGGGAATAGTGACCATAATATAACAACATT